TTTCCGAAGGAAAGATACACTATTGCGTTCTCCCTCATGGTGGGACCTAGACCTGGGACCATGCAAAGAGCACCGATCTCGAGTCGTAGATCACGAATATATATGTCATTCATTTTCTGTCATATATATATAGGTACCGATACCTTTTAATTGTTACCCATTGTTTTGTCGACCATTTATTAATAGCTGTAACTCAGGCAACAATGTTTGTAATGTTCGTTAGATTGTAACTATCTTTTCCTCTCTTCCCTGACCGTGTTGGATCGGAGGACTAGGTGTTTATTTCTTGTTTTTCCTTGTTTTGTCGCCTCAGTCTCTGCCTGATGATGGTGGGAATAATAAGCCACCGAACCGTCGCATTGTAAAAAATTTTTTTGTTTAAAATAAATAAAAAGTTACGGTTATACAACTCATGAAGTTCGCTTTATTATATATATGTATGTATGTATGTAAGTGTGTATGTATGTATGTATGTATGTATGGTTGGTTGGTAAATACATTTATTTGGTGCTTTAACATTGAAGCCATTAACACCGTAGATGAGGAGAGATCGTCAAAAAAACATAATTTAAATATTTAAGAAGTAGGAGTCACAAAAAGGGTAGTAGAAAATTAAAATTTAGGACAAGGAAAGAATGCATTAAATTTGGAGATGGACAAGGAAAGAATACATTAAATTTGGAGATTAATTCGTTTAAAAAAGGGAGGGATTTCATGAAAATACTTTTCAGCCAGCGTGAGGATTTTTCAGTTTTCAGAGCGTTGAGCGGCAGTTAATTTTTAAGTCTCTTGAAACGAAACTTCTGGGGTTTATAGTCCCCTAAGAGTACTTTTAAACTGTGAAGAAAAAATCGGAATACGTTAATTACTTTTCGCACAGGGAGGGGTCAAAAGGGGGGGAGGTTTAATTTTGTCCACGCGATAACTCGAGGAAAAATGAATATTTTGAGCTGAAATTTTGATGGTAGTTAGATATCTACTAAGACTGGTTTACTATTGAATTTCAGCGAAATCGGCCAACGCGTTTCATAATATTGGCAATTTACCGGTTTTACGGGTGAGAGGGAGGGGGTAGGAGTTGCGCAGCCAAGGGGAACTGTTTCTTGAAACATATCTGTGGCAAGAGGGGTAGGGTAAATAATTTCACTCCCCAATGTGACACTACCCTTCGGAAAATATGCGCGGACTACGAAAAGAACCGTCCCCTACTTGCCGGCTACCCCACGGAAAAACCTTGCCGCTTGCAGCAGGGTTTTTATATTAAATTCTATACTAGTTATAAAGCAATAAATAGAGGTGTAGGTAGAAGATTAAAATAAAGTAAGATAGAAGTGAAGGTAATTATATTTATTCGTGCACTTCAATTTTCGATTTCGTTATACGATTTTTTCTCGACGTTCTTACTTGCCCCTAATTTGCAAAAAAATGAGGCTGCATTATAAACAGTAGTTTAAAAATATCTACAGTTTTATAGGGGTTTCTTTTACGGTTATAGCTGTAGATCGATTGGAAAGTCACTACCGGTACTCCCGCGACCGGGCGTTTCGCGGGCCTCGAATCTGCCCCGAATCTGCTCAGCAATTGGTCAATTCAATCATCGTCATGTTTTGGGCTCCAAAATTTGTCGTTAAAGCTTAATAACTTTTTTAATAATTAACTAAATTTAAACAAGGTGGGCGTTACAAGTAGAGCTGAGCATACTCTAACCAAATATTATGGGGTTTTTGGGGTTTACTCTAACACTTAATTAGCATGAAAGCTAAATGGACCGCAAACCGTGCAGAAAAGCCCGATCGAGATGTTTCGTGTAAGTATAACTAGTTAGGCAGCAACCACCTGTCTTTTTTTTTTTTTTTTTTTTTTTTTTTTTTTTGTCGTCAAATTTTTAGGGGGAGTCTTTTAGGATTGGGCCGGGGTGGCTACCGCCACCTAGAATATGTCCTTGTTTAGATGTCAAAGAGGTCCTTATGAGAACTGTAATGAATTTTTTTTCTTTAAAGACATAAAAAACAATAAATCGTCATAAAATTGAAAAAAAAATCGAAGGAAAAAAAAGGAATGGGCCGGCCGGCCGTACACTTAAGTGGTAGATAAAAGGGTGATTATTGTCTCTCTTGCATGTATACATGAACAAGTATCATCGTCAAAAGGAGCTGGATCAGTCCTTCTTGAAATCGTCATTGAAAGATAGACTGAAAGGTATTCACTCATGAGTGAACAACTTGACAACTTTCAAGCAATATCATATTGTTTGTTAGTTTCTGATAGAAGGCGTTACAAACTACATAATACATAATACAAGACTACATAATACATGTACTACATATTATTGCGAATATTATGTGCCTCCCACTTACAATGCTTCTCTCTTAACAACTTCATGGATGTTGGCAAGACCGGGTCGGTCACCCATGCCAAAATGTTGACACATACCAATGTGTCCATTCCCCCCCCTTTATTGTACGTGCCGGCCGGCCCATTCCTTTTTTTTCTTCGAATTTTTTTTCAATTTTATGACGATTTTTTGTTTTTTATGTCTTTAAAGAAAAAAAATTCATTACAGTTCTCATAAGGACCTCTTTGACATCTAAACAAGGACATATACTAAGGGTGAAGTAATGATCAGTGTCTCCTTAGCGATGAGTCGGAAGGTCTGGAAAAAGTTATTGATCAGAGATCAGACCTATTTTAGAGAAGTTGGGCCGATTTGATATCATACTCCTTTAAAGCGATGGATCAAATAAATGTGTTCAGGTGATCATACCTTATAGGTATTTTTACTTTCTCGCTCCCCTAGGGTAGAGAGGAAGTATTGTCATCCTCCAAGAAAAGAAAAAAAAAAGTTGAAATTTCATCATTTTTAGACGTTTTAAGGTCCCAGGAGTCAAAATAACCATACTTGAAAAAATGTGTGTCCGTCCGTCCGATGTCCCCCAAATCTGTCTACAGCGATATCTCAGAATCTATCTGTTCGATTTCATTCAAAATTCTCACAGAACACCATATTTATGGTCTCCTTATGCACGTCAAACGATTTTGGGGTATGCTAAAATTTGGGGGGGCCAGGGTCAAATTGAAAGGTCCATTTTCAGCACAATCACACGGAAAGCTCATTTTGAGGGACTGTAAATTTTGAAAAATGCCTTTAATTCTTTAAAAGTGGGCATCAAGCACATCACCTGGGTCATTAATTTAAGTTCCTAAAAGATCTTTGGACTAAACTCAAAATTCAAGGGATTACGAGGCCCAAAAGTAGGGCACTTTGCTCCGCGACATCACACAAACAACTCATTTTCAAAGACTGTAAATTTGAAAAAAAATGCCTTTCATTTCTTCGAAAGTTGGCATAAGAGCACCATCTGGTTCAATAATGTAAGTTCCTATGAGGTCTGTGGACTAAACTAAAAATTGAAGGGTTACGCGTCCTATAGCGAGGAGAGCACTTCGGTCACACGGAGAGCTCATGGACTGTAGATTTTGAAAAAAATGCCTTTAATTCTTTGAAAGTTGGCTCAAAAGCACCATCTGAGTCATTAATTTAAGTTCCTACAGGATTTTTGGACTAATCTCATAATTGCAGAGGGGCCGGTAGGAAACGCTCAATTCTCTGATAAATGAGTCGGAACGCTTCTAGATAATAGCAGCAAACGCTTTGAGTCAGGTGAAACCCAGGAATGGGCCTGTTGCAAACTTTTGCTAGAGCAAAAATAAGAGTTGTTTCTTGTAGATAATGCCTCAAAAATCACGATGAGCGCATCGGCAAAGTCTGAAATGCACTCATAACTTCACAATCTGCGTAAGAAATTTGCGTTTTTTTAAGCTTCCCGCTTCAAAAACGATACTACGGCGTAGGCGAACATTTTGTTAGAGGAGTCGCTCCATCGTCGGCGATATTCATCATGGCCGACGCTTGCACGCAGTTGCGCGAGTAATTCAAGGAGAGTTCAAGGTCAATCCATTCGGGCGTGGAAAATATGAACGTTAACACACCGATTGTTATCTGGTCTAATCCAGTTCAGGTGTTATCTCGTCCCATCAAACGTGATTCGGCGGATTGGCGTCGGCTATGATGATTATTGCCGACGATGGAACGACTCCTCTTACAAAATGTTCACCTGTGCCGTAGTATCGTTTTTGAAGCGGGAAGCTCAAAAAACCGCAAATTTCTTACGCAGATTGTGAAGTAATGAGTGCATTTCAGAGTTTGCCGATGCGCTCATCGTGATTTTTGAGGCATTATCTATAAGAAACAACTCATAGTTTTGCTCTAGCAAAAGTTTGCAACAGGCCCATTCAAATGCATTGTATAATGCATCATATACTATTTCCAAAATTACTCCGTAGAGGTATACACCAAGCAAAATTAGACAACTAATTAGGTACTCACATTACATAGGTATTCATCAAGCTGACGCCAAGAACTGACACTTAGATCTTTATTAAAAACTAATATGTTTGTTGTTAATGAATTTAGAATCCCGGCAGATTCCATCTTTTGCGGTTCCTTTTTACTAGGTACTAAGCACAAATATAATATAATAATTCGGCACAAATATGACTGATTTAATGCTTGTTAATAAAGGAGGTTATAATTGTTATAACCTGAGGTTTGTTGACGTTTGTCGACAGTAGAGTCCCTTTATACTGAGAGTCAAGACAATTCGGCTCGTGGATGTCACAAACGGGAATAAAGATTACAGAAATTGAACGTTTTTCGTAATCTTTGATCGGCCCATTCTCAAATGCCTTTCTCCGTTCCTCCTCTCATTCCGTTTGTTCTTTGCCGAACCCGTAATTCCCTGGTCCATTCCAGATTATAATCTTTGCAATTGGTGAAAATGTAATCTTTATTCCCGTTTGTGACACTGTGGAGGCCTAAAATACGGGAACCAATCAGAAATGGATTCCAATTGTCTTGACTCTCAGTATAAAGGGACTCTAGTCGACAGCAGCAAGGAGATGGCGCTCTCTATTGTTTTCGCTTTGAATTACAGGATACGCGGTAAGGAGATGGCGCTCCTGGCGGGCGTGTGGTGAACCTTCCAGCAGGTAGATTCGCCCGCCAAATTTAAAATTTGGGAGATGCTAAGCGAAAACCGTTTAGTTTTAAGACTATTTAAACATCGAATAGTCATTCTACCCATTGAAGTAGATATTTGATGGCTTTTGACCGTGCTTAAGGAGAGATTATAATATAAAATCGTATCTGAAGTATGATGTCAATGAATCTAATGGATCCTAATGAATCGTAGAAAAGCTAAGATTTTTACAGATCGCCGTCCTGACAGGAGACTTTGTTAATCAATTACATATTTAATTGAAGATGCCTCATTAAATCAACAAGTCGGGTCCGAATATATGAATTCATCACATATCGCGAAGACATTTACAATAAAGTTCAGTGGATTGAATAAAAATTTCATAACTATTATCCTGCGATCAAAATTCCAATCAAACTTTATGATTTTGTAAAATTGGCAGTATTTTTCTAAATATTCCAGAGACAAATAGAGACCGAGCACGTTGGGTTTTCAGTGAGGCACATCTAATTCTCGGGGATCCAACGGAACAACAGTCATGTATTTTCTGATTTCGCCTAAAGTTGACTGATGCTACTCGGCTGTTGGCATTATGGCGGCTTGTTTACATTCTTCCTAATCAATTGCAAAGCGGAAAATTTTCCAATTTTTCATTTGAAACTCTTCCAAATTGTCATAAAATGACCTATTAGAAGGTAAAAAATTAATTCGCCCCTTTTAATCAACATTTGTGATACTTTCGGTGGTTTCACTTTATGTAGTGAGAAGCAGATTCCTCGAGACTCGGAGCCTGGTCCGCAGATTGTTCAACTTCATAATGGATAATTTTAGTTATCGAACTTTCTTTTGACTTTAAATGGTGTATAATTTTTTCTAGACAGTATCAATACCTTGTGATCAAATTCTCAATCTAGTAACCTCCATATCATGTCGCAGGATAGAGATATTTTAGCTATTTGAGATCTGTCAAGAACCTGATCACAGCAGCACTGCCAGTCTTACAGATACACTGTATTGAAATTTGACGAAAAAAAATTTACTGTCTATGTCATAAGCTGCTCACTATGATAAGTATTAATCGTGGATCAAATGCTTGATGTCTCCAACATCCTATCTCTAAGCCTGATGTAGTGCGTTGAAAGCGGAGTGTTATGGCTGCGAAGCGTCGATATTTGTTGTTAAGGAGGCGTGTAAATGAAACGTTTGGATAAGCTCGCAAGCTGTACGAATTCTTTTGTGTGTGGAAAATAACTGAATGTCCAGAATTCTAAACATCTGACTGTATCTCAAGTACCTAAAAGAAATGTTGGTCAGGTCAGAGTTTGTGAATCCTTGGCAGCAGTTAATGCAATTCTTCTACGTATTTAAGGCCTTCGCTCATCAAAGTTAGGTTAGTAAGAGACCGCTCAGATCCATCATATTATGCTTGTCAGTATTAGTCCATAATTCCATAGTGTAAAAATCCTTGGGAGGGTGAAGTGCCCATCATCTGATGGAGTTCCTGAGATTTGTTTAAGAACTTTTCTTCCTGATTATTCTCTCAATTTTACCAGAATTGTCTCTTCCACCACCATCATAAAGTATTTCAACCTTGCATTAAATGAGAAATGATGTATACGCTATCAACTTCGCCTTAGAATTCCTAAAATTGGGAGTCGTGAAACAAATAAAGTAGCTTCACCGTAAACATTTGCTAGCTTAGTTGGCAGTAAAACTCTCATTAATTCGGTGAAAATAAAAGTAAATGTTTTTTCTTCGCTCATTTCGATGAGGAAACACATTGAATACATATAAATTGTGATACTGGATGCAACTAATACTACTTCCTGTAAAATTGGAAAATGTGTAACTCGAAAAAAGGAAAGAGGATCTCACCAGAGTGCTCTCTTACAACTTATAGATCAAAATTCGTGATATTTCGGCCCTTAAAGGTTCTTTCATCATTCAGAAATAAAGAAACTAAATTTAGTTTGAACAGGCATCTTTCAAGAAAGAAATGTGACAGCTTATTTGCAGTTTTTAGCTTTTTCATAATGCGTCAAATCTACCTCTTGACGAAAACAGGCGAAGATTCAAACCGCGCAGTACTTATTGTTGGTTTACATTTCTCACCAACCAAACTTTAATGAGCAAAGTTGTTAAGTACGTAGGAGAATTTCAGTAACTGCTGCCAAGGATTCACAAACTCTGACCTGACCAACATTTCCTTCAGGTACTTGAGATACGGTCAGATGTTTAGAATTCTGGACATTCAGGTTCTTTTCACACACAAAAGAAATTGTACTGCTTACAGGCTTATCCAACCGTTTCATTTACACAGCTCCTTAAAGACACATATCGACTCTTCAGTCGAAATGCTCCGCATTCAATGCATTACATCAGGCTTCGGGATAGGATTTTGGAAACAGAATTATTTACAGAGAATTATCTTGAAAAAATTATACACCATTTACAGTCAAAGAACATTTCGATTGCTAAAATAATTATCCATATGGAAGTTGAACAATCTGAGGACCAGGCTGTCTCGAGGAATCTGTTTCTCACTGCAAGAAGTGAAACCACCGAAAGTATCACAAATGTTGAGTAGAAGGGGTGAATTAATTATTTACTTGTTATAAGGTAAAAAGTCATTTTATGACAAATTCGGAGAGTTTCAAAGGAAAAATTGGAAAATTTTCCGTTTTGCAAGTGATAAGGAAGAATGTAAACAAATCGCCATATTGCCAAAAGCTCACCAGATGCGACTAGCACCAGTCAACTTTAGGCGAAATCAGAAAAATGATGACCGTTGTTTTGTTGAATCCGCGAGAATTAGATGTGCCTCACTCAAAATTCATTGGCGGAATAGGGCGTGCTCGGTCTCTATTTGTCTCTAAAATATTCCAGTAAAAGTGTCTATGCAGGCGCGGAGCGCCGGCAAAAGCGAGAAAGTGTTGTGCCATTCTCGCACCATGATGGGGGCGAAGCCCCCCCACATGCCGGCGCGAAGCGCCGGTACGCGGCGCTTGCGCCGCGCATAAATTGGCCGGAGGCCAATTTTTTTTTGTGTGTGATAAACGTTGGGGTGTACGGTATATTGCATGAGCATGAATTGGGCCGTTTTGATATCATTTCCCTTTAAATGATGAATCCAAACGGTACTGCCATCATATTTTTTGGGTGCCTGGTTTTTTTTTTTTTTTTGTTGTAATTAGTGAACTTTTTTTGGATTGGGCCGAAATTTTTTTACAGAAATCATATTTTTGTTTTTTTGGAAGTATATCACGTATTTTTGGTATGACGTCCACGAGGTATCAGGCAAAGAGAGTTCCCCTTTAAATTTAAACGTTTCCGGCGCGAGGTAGAGAGGTAACGACCCCCCCCTCCCCTCCCACCTTTTTTGAAGGAAGTTTCGTTCAAACCTCGTGTCAATAATCTGTGATCGTTCTTGAGACATCAATAAGAAGGATCCATATTTTTGGCACACCCTGTACGTCACAAAAAAAAAACGGTAGGTCAATTATAAAATCGTGAAAAAGTTGGGTCACTTGACGTAATGCCTAATTCTCATTGGCTACGCACGTTAGAAACCACAGGAAAGCTATAGATGGAGGTCATAGAGAAAATGGTGGCAAGGCAGCCATCTTGAAGATTTGCTGTGACGTAGAAAAGTACACGGATTGGCGCGCTGTTCAAAAAAAAAGAACATTTCATGATGGAACCTGTATAAAGACCTTCATCACCACTCAAACTGACATTGAAAGTCATATAATTAAACATTAGTTATTTAGTTATCATGACCCTCCAATTTCTGCTTTTCTGAACCACAGAACGTAATTTAACATGGTTATACCTTCAAAACGGGACGAGTCGAGGTAAAATTTGTTATTACATGTAATATATATTTTTAACATACAAATTATTTTCATTTACCTTCAAACATTGAAAGAAACACACATAGAAACATAAGAAGTCATAGTTACGAGTTTTTAGAGCAAATATAAGAGGGATCCTCACAACCTTTCCCGCTCCTATTTAAATTTCAAAGAGGTCTTTGTTTTCCCGCGATCCTATTGATCAATAATCAGAAGGGCGGCTTCATTTTTAGCTGTGACGTAGAAAAGTACATTTCTCTGCATGCCACCACCTTCTGTATTTTCTCTATGGATAGAGGCTAGGTTATTGTTTTGTTCGGAAATTTTGGATCGGATTTGAGCAGAACAACGAGCAGAATGGACTCATTTAGTCTTACCTCACAACCAGCATTGATTCTTTCGACTACGGTCTCGGGTTCCAAACAATTGGCTGTCCTTGTTGCACTAATGGCGTTTCCCCGTAAGAAACAACTTTCAAATTTCAGAACGAATTTTCGACCTTTTAAACGCCGGGAACCACTAAGGTCACTCCTGAAATCGACTCTAAAGCGTCAAAATACAGGGTGTTCCAGACCACCCGTACCAGGCCTTTTTCTCGGTTGGCTTAGGCCGTACGAAGTTGGAGGCCGCGGGGTTGAATAGAGAATTGACCCCAAGAAATCCGAATTTAATGGTCCCGAAAGCCCCCCACCTCCCCTTGGGAGGTAAAGGGGGGGGTCACGATGCTAAAAGTCACGGTTTCCGACCGAATTGCGGATAGATCGCATCAGAATTGAAAAGGACGGAAAATTTCATGTGAAATTAACCCCTTTTTTTTTGTGTTTTAAATTCATTTATTTGAATAAGCATACAAATAAACATAGGACTTTACCGATTGCAATCATATAGTCACTACTCTAAACTACGGATTACGCATTTCTAATCTAATCAATGATTAAATCTAAGTTAATGCGAGAGAATTAATCTCCTAGCCTACTTTCCAATAATTCTAGGTCACATACTTTTAAGCATGTCGATTACAACCTAGGATATGAATAAGTATAAACTGATAGTATACTATCTTTATAAACTAAGGATAACTATCTAAAGATTAATATTTACAGGCACAAAAAACCAATTACGGAGAAAAAAGGACCTAGCATAAGTAAACAGATAA